GAATCTTCACTACCTGAGCATGCTTCCATATAAATATGATGAATTATGGCTTTGTCATTCTTGAGAAGAAGATTTTTAAAGAATTTTCCTAAATATTTCTATGTAAAAGTTTGGTCGGCCATTTTGGCCCCGCCCTACCCCTGGGGGTCATGATTTGAACAAACTTGAATCTACACTACCTGAGGATGTTTCCCCGCCCTACCCATCTGGGGGTTCCTGGCACAGTGGTAAATTTACACATTAATACTTTTCCTGCATTTACAAACTTTAGGTTGAAATAAGGGATATTGGTAGAATCAAAGTAATTAACTGTAGGACTATTTTCTGCAGAGATAATATTTTCTCTGTTATGTTTGACATTCTGTAATATATATACACTGAATCTACACTACCTGAGGATGTTTCCCCATATGTTTCATCTTTCCTGGCACAGTGGTTCTTGAGAAGAAGATTTTTAAAATATGCAATCAAATTTTCATTAATTTCCAACTATCTCCCCTTGAATGAGGGCGTGGCCCTTCATTTGAACAAACTTGAATCCCCTTCACCCAAGGATACTTTGCTGCAAGTTTGGTTGAAATTGGCCCAGCGGTTCTTGAGAAGAAGTCGAAAATGTGAAAAGTTTATAGACAGACAGACAGACAGACAGACAGACGCCGGACATGTTGTGATCAGAAAAGCTCACTTGAGTCTTCAGCTCAGGTGAGCTAAAAACTGAGGAAACATTAAATGTGTCAGATACATTAGATCATGTCTTCCATAAAAAAGAATTTGTAAACTCTTTCGTACGTGGCAAGTTTGAGATCTTTAAACATTTTATAGCTACTCCATGCTATGGGTTGAGTGTAGGGGGTGGTGATAATAATGCCACAGTTATCTCTGGGTTTAAACATTAAAAGTATAAAGCTATGATAATATTTACATTCCTGTACTTTGTAGCTTTGTTTGCCAGTGTAGCAGATTATACCATTTACAGTAATGCCAATAAATTTACACATTAATACTTTTCCTGCATTACAAAAGTCAATAAAGCTTTTATTGTTTACAATTTCTTGTAGGTTGAAATAAGGGATATTGGTAGAATCAAAGTAATTAACTGTAGGACTATTTTCTGCAGAGATAATGTCACGGTAAACTTTCTCTGTTATGTTTGACATTCTGTAATATATATACACTGTAATTACTATAATAATTACAATAATAATTACTATAATAATTGTAATAGTTATAATGGTTTGTTTTTGTTATAAATACAGTATTATTTATACAAACTGTTAACCCAAAGTTATTGTAACTGTAACTTCAATTAAAATGAAATTCATTAATAATATAACCAGTAACCAATTTTATGAAACTAGTTTAAGTAATGTCCTATTTTTCTATGTAACTTGCCTCTGGTCATCAGGATTTCTTTGAGTTTTCTACCATTTTTGTAACTGAACCCAACTGTAATGAAATGGGGGTGATTTCGTAAGTGTATACTGAATGAGTTTTTGTTCTCTGGAGACTTTGTTGAAGTACATGTTACAAAAAATCTTGGGATTTTGCTTGTAGCTATTTGGATATGCAATTGGTGTCAGCTTCTTGCTACATGAAAGAACACAGACCAGGTGGCATTTTTATATTTAAAAAGAAAGCAGAGTTGGCGAAAGAGGTGAAAAATCTGTCGGACACAGTGTCCTACATATTGTCTAAAAATCACAAAAATTACAGGACACACTAAAAATTTGCCGGACCGTAAAAACAACAAAATGTAAAATTGAAATTGATTTGCGATTGGTGGAACTCTTTCTCAGTGGAAGAAGAAAATGTTGTTGGATGGGGACAATGTGCTAGTGAATACAATGCAAAATGGATCATTGTAGATTAGAAATAAATTCTGTTTAAATCTCTTGATAAACATTCGCTGAATCACTGTAATAAATTTTATAGAGGAGTTAGTCCTCATATGATAACGTTATATTTTTTTGAAGATATCTTTCACTAAGTTCATTATTGAAATGATTAATCGTTACTTTTGAAATCAAATAAAATACTCTAAACTTTCCTTATTTGGCAATCTATTATCTGGAGTCCAACCCGTGGCAATACATTGTAACAACAGCATAAGTTATTCGATTGTCACTACTGTAAACAATGTTATGCTTGAGAATTATGGCGCGAGATTTAGAGCTTTCTCAACTTCTCCGCAAAAGAGCGGTAGTAAGTTCGATAACTGCCAGGTACTCACCATACTACTACGTATTGCAATATTTAAATGATGTAAAACTCTTACAGATTCAATTTCACGAAGTTTTAAAAAATAATGCATTATCTAATTTCTTTAATTATATTTTACTATTGATTATTCTGAATTATCTACTGGACACAGTGTCCGGCGTGGTTCTAGAAACTATCGGAGATCGCCGGTGGGCCGGCATCTTTCGCCATCTCTGAGAAAGGGGGGGGGGGGGCTTCTGAAAAATCTGCCACCCGAATGAAATTAATTTAAAAAAAAGTATTGATTGTTTATTGTTAAATGCCGAGTCGGCAATATATCAGCCGTATTTTGGCGGCGGATGAATACTACTAAAGGTATGCTTTATTTTGAAAAAAAAATATACGAAGGCTGCATGGAATACTTTGAATTTTACATTTTATTATACATTTACCTTGTAATTGTTTTATTGAGTTATTAAGAGAGGCTATTGTCACCTTTATATATAAATGATGATCTACCGTTTATGAATAGCTTCCTATTAGAAGAGTCTTAATTTGTCACCGATAAGACCCTTTTAATTAATATGGTTGTGGTTTGAAAATGGTTATGTCGATAGCGTTTACCATGCCAGATCAGAATCTTGATACATATACATATCATACATTTAAAGAAATTTAGTTGCACAACCTACCTACTGTATTTTTTTCCGAGTACCCCCCCCCCCCTTTACATATCCGTCCATATACATGTACCATCAGGCATCTCTCGCCGTCTAAAAGATCACGTTTCTAATATAATATTTACAGTGCAATAGTTTTGGATAAAGTAATTTTAGGGTTTACGCAGGACGAGAATTTAAATTTGACACTGAAAGTTTTTTTTTTTTATATCACGGGTTAAATATAAAATATCTGTTAGAAGATCCTGAAAACTCTTATGAGAATGAGGCTGCTTCTTACACAAAGAAGGTGGGGCTTAATATCGGTCAATCGGGCGATTTGAGAATCTATTGCCTTGGTCACTGTAACGTGAAGCGGTCACCTATCCAAGGGTTAAACAGGCTCGCCGTTGCTTAACTTGCCTGAAATAGAGGGAGACTCTACCGCATCACCAGAAAAGCTAGCTCACTGGCGAGGCAGTATAAGTTCCCTATATACTTTCCGCTACACTTCCCCCCCGCTCAGGGAAGCTTCGACCCAAAGCTTAGCATGAGTTCACTCTGAGTGTCTGGGCCTCTTCAGTTACGGCAACCATTGCCGTTCCCGGACACGAAGTCCGTACCTGCATGGACACGAAGTCCTAGACTTAGAGCTTCTTGAAGCAGATCGGAACCTGACTTCAGATACGGCAACCCCTGCCGTCCACAGACACAAAGTCTGTATATGGACACTACGTCCTAACTCTAAGACTTCCTGAAGAAGGACGCCAGACACCAGAGTCACTACGCTGCCACCAATTTTGTAATGTGAAGCGGTCACACATCCAAGGGTTAAACAGGCTCGCTGTTGCTTAACTTGCCTGAAATATATTTTCATTACCGCATCACCAGAAAAGCTAGCTCACTGGCGAGGCAGTATAAGTTCCCTATATACTTTCCGCTACAGTCACCAAACAAACTTCTTGTCAAGATCGGCATGCCATACGGAAAGTCAAACGTGACGGACACCCCATCATTCACTATATCATTACAGGTATATACTCCCGCTTTTCAAGCAGGCATATTAAAAAAAAGGTAAACGTACAATTACAATAAACGTGTAACCGAAGTAAGTTTAACTGTACTGATAATTATCATCTGTGGTCCTCAGTAGAAAGACTACGCTATTGTTCATAAACTTATTCTAATTTCCATGATTTGCAGCAGTCGAGGCAATATTTTGAAGCAAATTTATTGAGATGAGACACTAAACAGGTCTGGTACAATCACTAGATTTAGCTACGTAGCTTGATTTACCTACATAGCTTTATTTACCTACCTGAGGTAGCTTTATTTAGCTACCAAATTGGTTTATTTCTATTTAAAAGCATTTTTCTCAGGGTGTGCAGAAAATATCATTTTGATGCAGTGATCATCTTCAACTTTGAACTCATCTGAAAACAACTCATGAAAAAATCCCTCTTGGAAAAATGTCTTTTTCTGCGCAATTCCAATCAAAGTTCTGAAAGTTCTGGGGCTATGTATGACAGTTAGAACAGTTACCCCTTGGATGAAATGACAAAGAAGTCCAGTTCCGGTTAACACGATAATAGGTCGGTAATTATTCAGCACAATATGAAGTAATCATACTCAGTCATGCCTCACCGCACGGACAGCTAACCATACAATGGAATTACATGTTTTGCTCTAAATTGTCCAAACGCAGCGATGTTTAAACTATCTCTGCTTTGGATTGTTTTTTTAAGCCTCCCTAGTATAAATATCAATAGTCATTTAATTGCGACTTTTTGTATCTTTTTAATAAAAAGAAAACTTTTGAAAACTTACCTTGAAATAGCTAAATAAAGCTACCTGAGGTAGGTAAATAAAGCTACGTAGGTAATTCTACCTACGTAGCTAAATTTAGTGATTGTACTGGACCTGACTAAATATTTATCGAATGGGTTGATATACTTCCGGATTTTCCTTTTTCTGAAGTGAACAGGATAAGTTTGAATCGGAGTACAAATCTCGGTTTTCCGAGATATATTTTCTCCAGCTAGAGAGAGATAATCGCGATTTAGAGATGATCTTGCTAAAGGGGATGTGTTCCCAACCTGTTTAAAGATGATACTTTTGAATACGAAAATATAATTATCTCACCAGCAAAGTCGTCATCATTTTCTTTGTCCTCTGAACGGATGAAAGGTTTTGAAAGGTACTCATATTGATAATTTGTTTACACTAAACCAAGCTATGGTGCTTTTACCCGCCATGTTCATTGTGAAACCGGAGAAACAAGTTTCGTAAATTTTAAATCTCGATCCCGACTCAAATTTGACATCGGGAAGAAGAAATTCCGTTTTTCTCAATTTTATTTTTCTCTGAAAATTCAAAAACTTGAGCGGCGGGTTTGTAACCCTAAAAATAAAAAAGATGTTGGCCTAAATAGTTAATTAGATCATTATTACATATTAACCAGGAGCAAAGGAAAAGAGGTTCAAAGAATTCCAATCTGATTAAAATCAGATCCTTTGTTCCGCTCACATGGATCGCTACGAAAAAATTCATGCTTTTCACTATATCACCTTTAGAGCCCCGCCCTAACACCAGAACTTCTGACCCAGGGGCCCTGAAATTCACAAATTGGGAAGAGGCAGCCTTATTCAACATAACTATATACTTGGATATTTTATTTAAGGCCCAGGAGCAGAGAAGAATATTTTTAAAGAATTAACTGATGTATTTTCACTATAATATCAATAGAGCCCCACCCTAACACCGGAACCTCTGACCCAGGGGCTTCGACTTTCACAATTTTGGAAGAGGCAGCCTCATTCAACATAACTTTGTACTTGGCTAGTTTATTTAATACCAAGGAGCAGAGAAGAAGATTTTCAAAGAATTTATGCAATTTCACTATATAATCAATAGAGCCCTGCCCTAGCAATAGAACCCCTGACCCAGGGGCCATGAAGTTCACAGTTTTGGTAGAGGCAACCTTTTTCAAATAACTATGTACTTGGTTTTTTTTATCAATGCCCAGGAGTAGAGAAGAAGATTTTCAAAGAATTTATGCAATTTCACTATATAATCAATAGAGCCCTGCCCTAGCAATACAACCCCTGACCCAGGGGCCATGAAGTTCATAGTTTTGGTAGAGGCAACCTTATTCACATAACTATGTACTTGGTTAGTTTATTCAATGCCCAGGAGCAGAGAAGAAGATTTTCAAAGAATTTATGCATTTTCACAACAAAATCTATTTAGCTCCGCCCTAGCAATAGAACCCCTGACCCAGGGGCCATGAAGTTCACAGTTTTGTTAGAGGCAACCTTATTCATTTAATTATGTACTTGGTTAGTTTATTCAATGCCCAGGAGCAGAGAAGAAGATTTTCAAAGAATTTATGCATTTTCACTACAAAATCTATTTAGCCCCGCCCTAGAACTAGAACCTCTGACCCAGGGCCATGAATTTCACAAATTTTGGCAGAGGACTCAATGCTGATTACAATCATGCCAACAGTTTGACTGCTTGATGTCCAATAGTAAAGAAGAAGATTTTTAAAGATTTTATTAATTTTCGTGGTTTTTGCCCCATCCCTCAACCCCCCCCCCCCCCCCGGGACAGGGACAATGAAATTCACAATTTATGTTCCCCTTCGCCAATACATGCTTTGTGCCAAATTTGCAAATTTGGTTGAAATTGGTAGAATGGTTGCAGAGCAGGGATGGGGTCGATTACTTTCAAAAGTAATCGATTAAATTACAATTACTTTGGATTTTAAAAGTAATTGATTACAAGCTGATTACAGACATTTTTTAAAGTAATCAATTACATCTGATTACTTTTCCTTCATGTAATCATGATTACTTATGATTACTTTAGATTACATTAAGTTTTATTTATTTTTGTTTAATATTCAAGGACAACGGCATGTTTTTATTCATCTTTCTTTATAAATCAAACTTGACATAATTATAGGTAGTGGAAAATGGATTTGCTAGGGAACTGTTACACAAGTAATTGACCTTCTTGACAAGTGGTGGACTTTTCATTTAAACTGCCAATTATTAGAGATGTTTTTACTAAAATTAACACATTGACTGGACAAGCATGGATAGTTCAATAATTACTATTACCCAAGCTGACCCAGCTTTAGTTTATCTGTGTCTTATGACTAATTAATTCACATTATCTTTTTATGTACACAAAAAAGTGAATTTTAGAATACAGTGTATGTCTCAATAGAGGATTATTTGCTACATGTGTATACATAAAAATACAATTTTTTTCAGAGATATACTGTGAAAACAAATTGTTGCATTAGACACATGTTCATTAATTGAAACAAAAATAAATCAAACTTTAAAATGAGTGGATTTCTATAAGTATATGCATATATCTTGACAAAAATAGCGAATTGCTAAGCTGCTAAAGTATTTTGAAATGACTACTGAATATGGCAAGGAACTGATAGAATTTACTCATTACCAGGACAATGGACATGATTATAAGCATTTCTCGAGGCATTAGAAGATACTTAAATATAGCTTATAATTCTATATTAACTTTTTTAAAAAACAATTTTATACACTGAAAAGTATTCACTGAAAATCATAAAAATCATGATTTTATGAACTTTGTTTTAATAATTGTAATCATAAAGTAATCAAAAAGTAATCATGATTACAGGACTTTTTTCACAGTAATCGATTAAATTACGATTACTTGTAATCAGAAAAATGGATGATTACTGATTACTCATGATTACTTGACAAACTGTAATCGATTACAGCTGATTACGATTACTGATTATGATTAACCCATCCCTGTTGCAGAGAAGAAGCTGAAAATGTTTAAATGTTATCACACGACGCACAACGCACAACAACGGACGAAAATGGATAGCAATGGGTCACCTTTTACTCAGGTTACCTAACAAGAGGCCTAGGGTCCACATTGCTCACCTAAGCACATCGGCTTGGAAAATGCACAAATCAGACCAGAATTGAAAAGTTTACAGAGGAGGACTAGAATTTTCATACTACTTGAGAATGCCTCCATATAAAAACAGCATATAACTTTGCTGTTCTTGAGAAAGAGGGTTTTGAAGATTTTTTTTTAAAAGTTTGTTTGTATATATTACTTCGTTATAATTTGAATTTGATTCCCCGTTGTTTTCCTCCCTACCCAAAAGCCTCATGATTTGAAAAAAATCATGGTAAATTTGCCAGACCACAGTGCAGCGAAAAAAAGAAATTGTATTTTTTTTTAATCAGAACTTCTAAATTGTCACATGATTCACGTTAAAAACATATCAAGGAAGGCCCATACATTTTCGGACCCGGTTTTCATTTTATACACCTATTATAAAACTCCGATTGAAATGATTTCTCACATGATGTTTCAACTATGGTGCAACTATTTTATAGAACGTATTGTGCATATAAGGCACTAGGTTTTCCTGCATTATGCAACCAAAGAACACAGTTCATTTATTCAGTTCCTTCTTCACATAACTTTTCTTAGAGTTTGAAAGAAAACGAACATATTTATTCTACACATTACATATACAGTTTCTTTTCAAAAAGCAAATTCATATTAGGCATAAATAATAGCATTTTTATCGTGTCGGCATCTTAAACCGCAGTGTATCTCGCCACTTCTCATATTCCTGTATATGCATATATGCCGAGTCAATTTACGTAATCCTCCTTTTATTTTTTTTGCAAGCATATGATCATGATGAACTTATTTGGATTTTAGATTGTAAATTGATATCCCTAGACGCGGAGTGCACTATAAGCCATAAATCTGACCTTTAGTTCTGTATTAAGATTTTAAGCGTGGGGCACCCTAAGGTTATTGCCTTAAATACTAGAACTATACAAATTACATTTAATCGATTTTCACATAAACATATACGTGGGTATATAGTCTGCGATACAATTGTTTTTATTTTTTCACAAAAAAGATATGTGCCTCTGAAGACAGTTTAACTCGTTTTCAATTAAAGAAATTAAAACCCTTATATTGCATGCTTCATACGCTGAAATACCATTCTATAAATTTTAACCTCGGTAATCAGGCACATAGCAACACTTTTTCTCCAACATTACTCAATACTATTGAAATCATTCATTGAAAGGCTGATGGACTCCCACTTTTTACAGTGAAGTGATATAAGGAAGATGTAGTATTGTATGCAAAAAATTGGTACTGAAAGAAGTTTGCCTCCAACCCTTGACATTGAAGTTTAACTTTTTAAAAAATTATATAAACAGTAGTTCAAATTGGCCATAACTTTTGAATGAGAATAGATAGGGCTTTCACATATTATACATGTGTATTACCTGTGACGTGAGCTTTAGGAATAAACTATGATTTTTGACTCGTGACCTTGACGTTTACCTTGCCCATGACTTCTTGATGAGAAGTGAAAGGACTTTCATATTATACATGTGTATTGTCTGTGAAAAGACGTTTCTAAATACACTATATAATTTTTTATCTTTTGACCTTGACCTTGAAGTTTTACCTACTTTTCAAAAATTTTAATTTTTCTTTATAAGGTTTGATTGAGAAAAGATATAGAGCTTTCATATATTTGACATGTGGATTACCTCTGACAAGATATTTCCGAGCATACTCTGATTTACGACCCCTTGACCCTCACGATTGACATAATTAAAAAAAAATCAACTTTGGTGATAACTTCTGAATGATATATATGATACATGTAGGGCGTTCATATTTGACACAATATGTCATAAAAAAATGACATCTCACCCACAAGCTTGTTCTTTGAATTTGCTTGTTTCAAATATTTTGCTCCTCTCTTAAAGTTATTTTGAAGTATTCATGACATAATTAAAAAAAAATCAACTTTGGTGATAACTTCTGAATGATATATATGATACATGTAGGGCGTTCATATTTGACACAATATGTCATAAAAAAATGACATCTCACCCACAAGCTAGGACACCGAAAGCGATGAACCACAATTCTTTGAATTTGCTTGTTTCAAATATTTTGCTCCTCTCTTAAATAAAAAGTCAACTAAGCATTCTCACATCGTATTTTGAAATATATAATCATGCTAATATTGAAATTGCTTATCTGTTTTATCTTGTCACATTTGGAAAGCTTTATTTTCACAATTAAAATAACAAATTCGTGGTAAAACCTTCCTTCTCTCCTACAAGAGTATTTTGATCAATTGTCTTGATCAAGGTTATTCAAAACATATATAACATTGGGCAATAATATATAGCCCGTCAGTTTACAA